GATTGTCTTAAAGATGTTTTATTTGAGAGAGAAAGAGAGAACGCGCAAGGAGGGGCAGAGGGACAGAGAGAGAGAATTTCAAACAGACCCCCTCACTGAGCGAGGAGCCCAATAGGGCTCCATATCTCATGACCCCAAGATCACAACCTGAGCTGAAACCAAGAATCAGATGCTCAACTGACTGTGCTTCCCAGGAGCCCCTGTAGCTACTTTTTAAAAAGTCTTTTAGATTGGGGTGCCTGGGTGGCTCAGTGGGTTGGGCCTCTGCCTTCAGCTCAGGTCCTGATCTCAGGGTGCTGGGATCGAGCCCTGCCTTGGGCTCTCTGCTCGGCGGGGAGCCTGCCTCTCTGCCTCCTTGTGATCTCTGTCTCTCTCTCTCTGTCAAATAAATAAATAAAATCTTTTTTAAAAAATAAATAAATAAAAATAAAAAGTCTTTTAGGGGCGCCTGGGTGGTGCAGTCTGTTGAGCATCCACCTCTTGTTTTGGCTCAGGTCACAATCTCAGGGTCCCGGGATCAAGCCCCATGTCAGGCTCTGCACTGGATGTGGAGTCTGCTTGAGATTCCCTCTCCCTCTGCCCCTCCCACTTATGCCGCCTCCTTCGCTCAAATAAATGAATAAAATCTTAAAAAAAAAAAGTCATGGGGCGCCTGGGTGGCTCAGTGGGTTAAAGCCTCGGCCTTCGGCTCAGGTCATGGTCTCAGGGTCCTGGGATCGAGCCCCGCATCTGGCTCTCTACTTAGCAGGGAGCCTGCTTCCTTCTCTCTCTCTGCCTGCCTCTCTGCCTACTTGTGATCTCTCTCTCTGTGCCAAATAAATAAATAAAATCTTAAAAAAAAAAAAGTCATTTTAAAAATGCAAAAGTAGCTGCAGAGGCTAAATAAAAGTCACTGAGACTACGGAATCATCATCAGCCTTTCCAGTCCTATGGAAAACATACATTCTGGGGGCGCCTGGGTAGCCCAGTGGGTTGAGCCTCTGCCTTCGGCTCGGGTCATGATCCCAGAGTCCTAGGATCGAGCCCCACATTGGGCTCTCTGCTCGGCAGGGAGCCTGCTTCCCTCTCTCTCTCTGCCTGCCTCTCTGCCTACTTGTGATCTCTGTCAAATAAATAAACTAAATCTTAAAAAAAAAAATATATATATATATATATACACACACATTCTAAGAAATAAGTTCTATTAAAAAAACATTATAGGGGAAAAAAGTTTAAATTCCCCTCAAATATTTGAAAAGACCATCTGAACAGTGATAAACTCAATGAAACTAGTTAACTGGAAGCAAGTACAACTGCTTTTTCAGAAAATTCATACAGAATTGAGTTCATCAATTCAACAATGCAGACCAGGGTTTCTCAATCTCAGCACTACTGGTATCATGGGCTGGGTAACTCTTTGTTGTGAGGAGCTAGCTAGTCTGTTCATTGTAGGGTATTTGGCAGCAACTCTGGCCTCTACCCACTAGATACCAGAAGTGCTACCCCTGGTTCTAAGGGGTAGAAATGTCTGCAGATATTGCTAGATGTCCCATCGCAGCAAAATCCCCCCAGGTGAAGAACCACTACGGCAAAGCCGGCCCCAGTGCTCATCTTTACTATTCAGAGTTCCAAAGAGCATATTAACTACAGTTTCAGAAACATTTCAGAGTAGAGTGTATGACTCAGGGCAAAGTTATGACCTGAGTTTTCCACTCTCCTTTTGAAACACATTACTAAAGGGCAAGAGGAACACACCCAAAACCAGAAGCACACCATTTCATGCCTTGTTCTCGATGGCAGTCTTTAAAGTCCCTAACTCAGGCAAGGCCAGCGAGAACGCATCATCATGTACGATGGTAAGCCCTCAGCCAACTCAAACTGCTGGATGTGGTTCCATTTTGCTGATGGTTGGGAGTGCTTTTATACAGTCTATTTTGTCTTAAGGCAGTAAGTATGCTGGCAGATACACGTACATTTTTAAAGCTGTTTTAATGAAAATACTACCTATACCCAACAGAAGAGAATATGGGGAAAATCTACATTGGAATCAATTAAAGGGTTTAAGAGGAAACTTTTTCTCAATTCATGTGTCACAACAAATCTTTATACTTTAGCACAGAATGCTGAACAAAACCACATTTTGTCAATTTTGTAGTGGTTTATGGATTTATAAAGACCAATTATGACTAAACAGTACTTAAGATTCAGAAATGCAGAGACTAGGTTAAATCTAAAAATGATGCCAGGCTATGCTATAGAAAAAAAATTATTAATAGACTGAGTTCAATATTCATCTTATTTGACTCTTCCCTAAAAATAAAAAATCACCAAAATCAGGGTGCCCGCGTGGCTCAGTTGGTTAAGCGTCTGCCTTTGGATCAGGTCGTGATCCCAGGGTCCTGGGATCCAGCCCTGAAATGGCTCCCTGCTCACCAGGGAGACTGCTTCTCCTCCCTCTGCCCTTCCCCACTGCTTGTGTGCACAAGCGTGCTTGTCCATGCTCCGTCTCTCTCTCTCAAATAAATAAAACCTTTAAAAAAATCACCAAAATCCATTTGGTTACCTGAGGGTTTTGTGTTCCAGATGAATAAGGCTTTCTTAATTGTCAATATTTGACTTGGATTCCTTATGATTTCAAGACATAAAAAGTTAATCTTGTTTTTTTTCACTGACTATACCAGCAAAGGCTATTTCCTAACTTTTAATATGCTTTAGCTGTGAAATACACCAACAAGTTCTCTCAATATACATGCTAATAAAAAGCATCCTTTACAAATTTCCAAAGAGCATCAACTTCTCAATACACTGATATTATAAATCAAACTTCCTATTAAGTAAACAAATCAATTCAAATGTAAGCAACCACCTAGAGGGAAATTTTATTCTATATTAGTATGCAAATTAGAATTACTCAAGATTCTTTTCTTAACGTTGCCCGGCCACACAATGAATTAAACCACAATCTGTGGGTCCCATGCACTGTCAGGTTTAAAATACCGCAGGTTATTCTAATCATGCAGCAGAATGCAGATCCAAAAGCCCAACTAAAGGTTTTTTTCTTTTAATTAAAGCTTTCTCTTCATTTTCCCCCCTTTGATGTTTTTTAAAGAATATACTCCCAAAACTTCAAAGACAACTTGGGAAAATGTTTTAAAATTTAGATTAACTTTAAAATGCAATTGTGTTATTTGAACAATTTCTCAGTTCACAAGGCCATAGAAACTAGCACTGGGGATTGGGGGAGGTAGAGAGAATTTTATATTAATTTATTGCTTCTTATAATTCTCTATTATCTCATTTTAGTGTGCATTTATCCTTTATTCTAAGATTTAGAAATCATAAAAATGAAAACCACACGAGCTCCACCATAGAACACCAAGTTAACAAAGCCTATTCTAAACAACTTCTATTGAGTGAAAGCTACAGAAAGTATGCTAGTACACCTATCTAATCCTGTTGTCATTTTTCCTAATTTCACGGTTACTCCAATGAGAGTAAACGGTAGCTAATAAAACAACGTGCTGTCCTACTGTTAATTCCTCATTACATAGAAATCCTTTTCATCCAAGCCTTTCCTTTACAGGTGGTAAAACAGAAACAGGGATTTCTAGACTTCAAGCTAGTTTCTATGGAAAGTGGGGGAGGAGGGAGCACTAATTTGAATTTCAGTTCACTGCACTACTGAACACCTGACATGGATTAAAACCACGTAGGTTTTGCTTCTCCAAAAGCAAGACAAAATGTGAAACTGCGTTTTTCGTCCGTTAGTTCTTTTCTCCCTTTCACAAATCATTCCACCCAGCTTCGTATTCAACTTTGAGGGCTGAGATTTATTAAGATTCTTCAGTGTTTTCATTTTTTGCCTTTAGATTTCGCAAGTGAAACTTCTGGCGATTTCAATAGCACACACATTAAGCAAGAATAAAGCCAGGTAAAATGACAGGTGAAGTATCCCTCAATCTTTGATGACTTTCCACTTGGTTTTTCTTTTACCATTCTTTCTGTCTTCAGGAAAGCAAGAGAACGTACGATCCCAAACGTACTAAAAAACTTCCTAAAAAGCCATTAAGGCCACATTCTTTTATCTCGTTTATGGAAAGAAGTGCGGGTTTAAAATCAACTTTCCTAATGCTTGCCAGCGCCTCGAGGTCGTTAGGATAAAAATAAAGCTTCCAACTCCAAGACACTTCGCAGCCGTCAAGCGCTTTGTCAAAGACAAAGTAAAGCATCTACCTTCCCGCTAGGACCGGGACCCCGGTTGCCGGCCCGCGAGCCTGCGGAGCGCCAGGCGGGAGGGAGCCGCAGCTCCGGAGCGCGCGGCTCCGCCAGGGCGGGACCGCAACTGTGGGGCGCCGCCCGCCCGTCCCCCGGCCTAGAGCACCGCGGGCCTCCCCCTAGCGCTGGGCCCAAGCGCCCGGCCCGACCTCCGACGGCTGCCGCTCCCACCGGGAGCCGAAGGAAGCGCCGCCCGCGCCCCGCCGGCCGGGCCTCGCTAGCAGCCCCCGGCCCCGAATTCGCGGGCCGAGGGTACCCCGGCGAGGGCCACAGGGTCCCAGCCCCGGGACGAGGAACGGGCGGCGGTGCGGGCGGGCGTTCCCCTCGGAAGGAGTCGGGAGGGCGGCGGAGGGGCCACGGAGCGGGCCCGGGGAAAATTGGGCGCCTCACCTGCTCCTCCCGAGGCAGCCGCTACCGCTCGCTGAGGGGACAACATGGAGCCTCCGCCTTCAGCAGAAGCAGCAGGGGCGCAGAGAGGGGCGGGCTGAGTCGGGAACGAACCGGGCCCAGGAGGCGGGAAACGGGCGGGGCCTGGACTCTAGAAGAAACTGGGTAGAAGGAGGGGCACGCAGAGCTTTGAGGGAACGAACACAGGGCGGGTCTACGAGGCCCGACGGACCGCGCTCCCCGCGACGGGCACTGGGCTTGCCGGAGCGGGAGTAAGCGGCGAGAAGGGGAGGCGCACCGGTCAAATCCCGCCACCGCCCGACGCTTACGCTGGAGCGCGCAAGCGGGCCGCGGGCTACCTGGGAGTGCGCCTTGTGTGCGATGGTCCGTTGGGAATTGTAGTTCCACGCTCTCTGGGTGCCCCTCCTGCGGGTCCCTATTCTGCGCACTCATCTGGGGCGGGGAGGAAGCGGAAGAAAGGGAAGGGGCTTGACGCGTCTGTTCGACGACTGAACTACAACTCCCAGCAGGCCATCTGGGGAGGGGAGGGGTGGGCCGGCTCAGGCCGGGGATCGCCCGCCCGCCCCGCCGAGATCCTAGCCTTGAGACCCGCCGGGAGGCGGAGGACTTGGGATAACTGGCCGCTAATCCCCACCTGCCGCTTTTGACCGTTCGGTGTTTAAGGACTAAACCAAAAGGAGGCCTCAAACCTGGTGACGTGAGCGTCACTGGTTTTTGTTTTCTTTTTTTTAATAACGATTTTGACTTCACAAGGAGAGGAGGACGTGACTTCATCACCATCATCATCAATTTCACCCCATAATCGCATGCCTGGCCAAGCCTGGTGATGGACCATCACCACCACTCTAACAGCTAAAACTTCCAGTGAAACTCCTTCCACAGGCTCTGTCCAGCCTAACCCATGGCCATGTTTTGTAAACTTCAGGTTTACAGGGGCTTGCTTTAAAGGTACTTTTTGCAAGCACACCCTACTTAAACTGTATGTTAGGTCCATACAAAATAAGGTTCTCCGAAAATGATTTTATTCACACGTCACACGTGATTAAGAAAATGTCAGTTGTGAAGAATCTTGTTTGGGTTTACTGGGGTAGGGGCGGTTATCGGAGATTAGTAGCTGGTGGATCTCACAGGAGACTAAAGCAGCCATCCCATTACCACCCCCTCTTGGCGTCACCATATCCTCATTCGTTAGACAAATTATTATACTTTCTTCTGCCTCTAACTTTTTTAAATTTATGCTTATTTGTTTGTTTTTAAGTAATCTCTACACCAGACCTGGGGCTTGAATTCACCACTAAGAAATCAAGAGCCGCATGCTCCTCTGACCGAGCCAGAAAGGCGCCCCACGTCTGCCTCTGCCTTAACTATTATAATCTACGAAGAACCTCCTTCCAGCAACCTTCAGGCCCTGCCAAGCCTTTGAGCTGTTTTGTTTGTTTCTTCCTACTTCCCAAGAGATTAGGACAGAGGTGAAGAGTGAGAGATAATTCTATGTAATCTTATCTAAAGAAATCCTATTTTGATTTCTCTCACCCTGCCTTCCTATTTTCCCCCAAACTTGAGATTACTTGAATACCCGCCTCTAGGCTTGAGATTTAAGAGTCTCGATTAGATCTAGCCCACTCAGGCCTGCAAGAAACTAGCCAGTAGTGGTTATTGGGGTTTCACACTACATGTGCAGAAGGCAGGACCTACAGGATATGACACAAGTCCAGGCCATTATGTGGCATGCTCAGGAAGAGAGAGGGGCTAAAGGCCAATGTTTTGTCACAATTGCAATGCACAGTGTAAGAATTTAAAATTGCACACACATCCCAGAATTCTCCAGTACTCTTCCCTGTCCAACTTCATTAGACTTCTTACCATCTGACTTGTGTTTTATTTTTATTTATTTGAGGGAGAGAGCACGAGTGGGCATGGGCTGAGGGGCAGAAGGAAAAGCAGACTCCCCACTGAGAAAGGACCCCCCCCCCCAACACACACACACCCCCTGACCCCAACTGCCCGGTGATGCGGTGCTTGATCCCAGGACCCTAGGATCCTGATCTGAGCTGAAGGCAGACACTTAACTGACAGAGCCACCCCAGGTACCTCAGACAAGTAAAACATAATCTTTTTGTTTCTCTTCCCACTAGAGGAATTTTGTCTGTTTACTTTGTTTACTGCTATATCCACAGTGCTTCATACAATGCCAAGCAAATAATAGAAACTAATATTTATTGAACGGATGAGTAAAGAAGGGATACGGGACATTTAACACTGCTCACTCACTTTATTGCTCCCTTAATATAAGCCCCTAACTTTTGCTTTTGAACAAAATACACTGCTCTATTTTAAGGGCTCCCAATAGAGATCCATGGAAATCCATCCTGTTGGGAAGTCACCAGCAAACATGGATAGACACAAATCTGTCTCAATTAATTTCATCCAAGTCAGTGTGAGCACATCAGCCTTCCCCGTACCTTGTAGAAGTTTTTGGGATTTAGAACACAGTCCAAATTATGGGTAGACTTTAGGATTAGTCACAGCTTAAAAGCTACTCCTGTAAACGAGAACTACATTTTGTTGTTAGTGTTGTTTCCTTCTCAAATAACCAGGGTCATCAAAACAGTGGACATTCAAAATGCTAAATATTGATGATACTGATTACAGCCTGTCCTCAGCCATCTCACTCTGGATTGAGTCATCACGTATTATGATCAGAGCCTGAGCTTTCCTTGTGGTTTTCCAGAAGCAGGTGACATGTAGACATGTTTGAGTGGTTAAGACCGCAGTATTCAGGGTCAGACTCACCTGGGCTTTGCATTTTGGCTTCGATACTTACTAGCTGTGCAAACCTGGGTGATTTATTTAAACTCTTTGAACTTATTACCTATTGCCAAATGATTTGAGTTGCTGTGGGTTAAATGAGATGTAAGTATTTGGCAATTATGACTGATGTATAGTTAGTGCTCAAAAACTGGTAATCATATTTCATTCTGGAAAGCCAAAACAAAGTCATAAGTATCCAAAACAATCAAGTATTTATGAAGCATAGAAATAACAAAATTGTTTTCTGCAGTGACATCCACCATGACTCAGGTCCCAAAGCTTTCCAAAAATAGCTTTCCAAAATTGTTATGTGCCAGGCATAGTGCTAGGCAGTATTGCGGATATATGCATAAGACATATTCCTGTCCTCCAGAGACTCAGTCTTGTGGGGTAAACAGCCAAGTAAAAACTCACTGGGACTGTGCAGGGCCTTAGTTCAGCCTTTTCTCCTATCGCCTACTCATAGGATCCATGTTTAAGCAACAGTCTGGGGCCTCAGAAGGGACAAACTGGACTACTGACATCCCTGGGCATCATTTAAAAAAAAAAAAAAGACTATCTTAGGGAGGAGGGGTAGAGGAAGGGGGGAGAGAACCCTCAGACTCCCTGCTAAGCGGAGAGCTCCACATGGGGACCCTGAGATGCCAGAACCCTGGGATCATGACCTGAGCCAAAATCAAGAGTCAGATGCTTGGGGCTCCTGGGTGGCTCAGTCAGTTAAGCATCTGCCTTCGGCTGAGGTCATGATCTTGGGGTCCTGGGATCAAGCCCAGCATCAGGTTCCCCACTCAGCAGAGAGCCTGCTTCTCCCTCTCCCTCTCCCTGCCACTCCCCCTGCTTGTGCTCACACTCGCTCTCTCTCTCTCTCTGACAAATGAATAAATAAAATCTTAAAAAAAAAAAAAGTCAGATGCTTAACTGACTGAGCCACCCAGGCAGCCTGACTATTTTCTTTTTATAAACTATGACACCAAGTAAATAGCTCATTCTATACACAGAACAGAAATATATTAAATATTTAATATACAAATATTTAAATGATGCCCAGAGGGCACCTGGAGTCTTGGGGTCCGTGATACCAAGTCCTGAGTCAAGTCAGGCTCCGCACTGGGCATGGAGCCTGCTCAAGATTCTCTCCCTCTCCCTTTGCCCCTCCCCTGCCTCTCTCTGAAAAACAAAAAAGAAAGAAAGAAAGAAAAGAAAAAAAAAAATAGCCAATCCAAACTCACAGACTGTTATAAAGTTGGAATATCAGGGCTTCAACATGGAGGTAACACACTAAGACTGCAAGACCTACCAGCTCCTTCATTATTGTTCTTGTTAACAGCGTGTCTCTCTGCCTCTTCAAAAGGATACTAGAAAAGATCACTAGAATTTACTATTAAGGAAAGGAAGCAACATATCTAACTATGTATAGCATGCTATCATTTCTGTTAAAAAGAGTAAAGGAGGCGGCACCTGGGTGGCTCAGTTGGTTTAGTGTCTGCCTTTGGCTCAAGTCATGATCCCAGGGTCCTGGGATGGAGACATGCATGGGGGAGGTGGGCTTAGTCCCTGCTTAGTAGAGTCTGCTTCTCCCTCTGCCCCTCCCACCACTCATGTTCTCTCTCTTGTTCTCTCTCAAATAAATAAAATCTTTAAAAAATTTTTAAAAAAAGAGTGAATGAGGATAAAGATTTGTTATATTCACCTTTGCATTTGCCACAAAAAGCTCCTAACGGTACTTACCTATGTGTGTGCAGGGGAGGAGACTAGGAGCTGGAGAGGGGTTAATAACAGAAGAAAACTTCAAGGTATATATACACTCATCTATATGTGAATATGTATATACATATATATATACACACACACATATTTATATAAGTATATTTGAAGAGATTTTTTAATTAAAAAATATTTTTTTCTAATAGTTAAGAAAAAGATGGGATAATGAGATGGCCCAGAAACTGAGGGGGGAAATTAGCTGTGTAAATACCAGTCCTATAAGGACAGGGGCAAGGAAGAAAAGGCCCAGCCCAGTGCCTCACCAGTAGAAACTGCTCCACAGAACTGAGAAGTTGCTATGCTCCAGTGAGCACTTTAAAAATCCCATCTGAGCCCTTCCCTACCTGTAAACATTCACTGAATCCCCATTAGCCTTAAAAGGAAGCCTCAAGGGGGACCTGGGTGGCTTGGTGGGTTAAGCCGCTGTCTTCAGCTCAGGTCATGATCTCGGGGCCCTGGGATCAAGTCCCGCATCGGGTTCTCTGCCCGGCAGGGAGCCTGCTTCTCTCTCTCTCTCCCTCTCTCTCTCTCCCTCTCTCTCTCTCTCTGCCTACTTGTGATCTCTCTCTGTCAAATAAATAAATAAAATCTTTAAAGAAAAAAAAAAAAAGGAAGCCTCAAGCAGCAGCTCCTTCTGCCCATGGGTCCTGTCCCCATGCTTTAATAAAATCGCCTTTTTAAATTTTTTTAAGCGGGGCTCGATCCCAGGACCCTGAGATCATGACCTGAGCCGAAGGCAGAGGCTTAACCCACTGAGCCACCCAGGCACCCCTGAAATCACCTTTTTGCACCAAAAAGAAAAAAAAAAAAAGGAAGCCTCAGTTCCTTAGTGCTATATTACTGCTTTTCCACACTCTGGCCCCAAGGCATCTTCCCCACTTTCTCTCCCTCTTGTTAGCCCTTGGCTCTAGCCAACCTGGGCTAACCACACCCAAAACCCCTTACACGGGGTCATGCTGCAGATCCTCCAGCCGCCACAGATGGCTGTGCAGTCTATGTGTAGGTCTAAGGCAGCCCATGGAGGGGAGGGGCAAGAGGGGATCAAATGTAGGCCAAGTTCTGCTAAACAAGCCAGCATTGATTGAAGTGCATCATGGGTTGGGCTGGGAGAAAGGGGTGCTCTTCTGTGACTGGTCTGCCCAGAAGGAGGTCTTATTGTACACTTGCAAAAAAGCAGCCCCTGGCATTTGCTTCATACCATTCTCCTCTGCCTATAGTGACCTCCTTACCATTCCAAACTCCCATCTGACTTAGTGCTCCTTCATAAAACCTCCCCAAGCCACTACAACTCCATAGTGACTCCCTCTCCCTTTAAATTCATACAATTCACTTGCCATCTAAAACAGAACAACATAGCTTTGTGTTGCTGGGGGTTGTTTTGGTTGTTATAATTTTTATTTTTATGTGAGTATGTTTTAAGCCCCAACTAGCTTGTAAGCTCATTGAAGACAGGACAAACATTTTTTGGATTCCTCCAAATTTCCCAGGAGAGTGTCATTCACTCAGCATGTGACCAGTAAACATGGAACAAACCATATATACAAATAACATCTCAAGCAAGAGTCAGTCTCAGGGAAGTTTACTGGTATAGCAAGAGGGAGCAGGAAGGAAAGGTAGCTTCAGGAACTGGACCTAGCACAAGGCCTCTGATATAAAAAATCTTAAGAGTATGAAAGGACCACCAAGACAACATCAGTGTCTTGATTTTTAGCTCTTTTCTTTGCTTCTAGTTACCATGAAAACAGGTTTCCTTTTTGAGGAGGGTCTTGAGATCCTAGCAATCGCTGTCAGGGCTAGGGAGCAGCATCATTGATTTCCTTATCCAGCTCCTAATAACATACGTTTTTTAAGCTTTTGCATTTATTAGAATGAGTAGATAATGGGCTTGGTTATCAGATCGGCTTGTATTTCCCTTTGTCATCCAAAGGACAGATTGCTGCATTGTCAACGGATGCTGTAAGCGTCAGATTAAGATATTTGCCACGAAGTTATTTTGGGAAATATCTTCTGTGCCTTTTTTTTTTTTTTCCAGAGCCCTGCGATGGCTAGTTTTTTTTCCTATCTGAGCTTTATCTGATCTTAAAAACTGTCAAGGGCAGATGTAATCCACTTCCTGTTCTAGAAGATTTCCACTGGTCAGATCCCTTTTTCTCTGGGTTGCTGCCTGGCTCACTACCTCCCCCTTCACTGCATCTCTACGGGTCTGCCGATCTTGGAATTGCCCTTCAGGTCATTGATTGCCGCTTTAGCAATAATAAGGCTTATGGTTTTGATTGTGGTCATTTCCAGTTTATGTTCCCCTTTCTAAAAGAATTATGCATATTCAGATATTTTAACCAGGTGTATAGAGGCTTTCTATTTCACACTACAACCAAAAACAAACAAACAAAAAAAACTAAAAAGAAAAAAATTCAGTATAAGCTAGATATCTGGTTCAAATAAATTCTCTGCTAAGGACTCCATCTAGGCTATAAGTAAAATTCAATTATGTATATTTTGTGCCATATTCTCAATTTTTAATACCTCATTTTACCCTCCTCCATAACTACAGCCAGGATGTTATCTCTTGGCTCTTCTTTTTCTCATTGGCTCAGCTATTTTTTCCTTCAAAATATATCTTCTTTACCGGATAGCCTATTTGGAGGAAAGGACAACCTTAAGACCCAAGATGGACCCCTCTTTGGGAACAGAAACAACCTAAGAATATGAAGCAGGTTCTGCGGCTGCATTGCAATGTGACTGGAATGAGTAATAGTTTTTCATTCTGTATAGCATCTTGCTCCACCTACCAAATGGGAAACAGTGCCATCTCTGCCTCAGGGTGATATTACGACACATCCAGAAAAATGCATAAGGCACCCTGCAGAGTGAGCCTATCCACATTGTGGTTTTCACTTTTCATTGGCGTCACAGGCAGAAACGCAACAGACAATAGACATCTGCCCTGGAATTTATGGGAAAGACATACTCCAGGTAGTGGAAGCAAAAAAAACTAATATCGTTAAAACACATAATCCGCCGACCCTAAAACATTCACAAAAGACGTGTAAAGAGACACTAACCTGCAGGGCCCCCTCCCACTTTGGCCGCAGTGGTGGGCGGAACTTGGTACTTGGCCACGCCCCTTGCGTCTGGTTCCCGGAGGGGCGCGACCCAGCCCGGCCTCTCGCGCGGACGCAGCGTGAAGCCAGTTTTGCCCCTCCTTCCCCGCAGGAGCGCGGAGGGACAGTTCTTGCGCTTGCGCCCTGCGTAGCTGGGCGCCTAGGCGCGACCGCCGCCCGCCCGAGAGCCCTTTGTGCGCCTGCGCGCTCGCGCTCCCGCCCTCTCGCTGCGCTCGGCTGAGTCAGTCAGTCTGCTGGAGTCTGTCCTCGGAGCAGGAGGAGCGAAGGGACTTCTGAGAGCCAGCTGCTTGATTATTTTCTTTCCCCTCCCTCTCTCCCGCCCCGCATCTCTCTTCATCCCTTTCCTGCCCTTGCTCGCGCAGTCATGGCGGAGCCGTCGGCGGCCACTCAATCCCCGTCCGTCTCCTCGTCGTCCTCCGGGGCCGAACCCTCGGCGCCCGGTGGCGGGAGCCCTGGATCCTGCCCCGCCCTGGGGGCGAAGAGCTGCGGCTCCTCCTGTGCGGGTGAGGCGCGCCGGGGGAACCCCGCCCTCGAGGGGGTTGTTTTTGGGGTCGGGGAAGGTAAATCACCCTCTCCTGTCGGAGGCTTCAGCCCCCGGGAACGAGCGTCTGGAAAATGGGCTAAGGGGGAGGGGAGCGTAAGGTGGTGCAGGCGGTGAGGAAATAACGGGGTGTGAGGCAAACAGGTTGGGGGCGGGGAGATATTCTAGGGAGTGGGCGTTAACACCGAGGCAGGGCAGGTGGGGAAAAACACCAGTCCGGGGGAGCGGTCCGCTGACCCGGGGTGATTTAGTGGAGGATTAGAGAGATTGAGAGGATTGGGGCAGGTTGGTTGTAGGAGAAAGCACTAGCTACGATTTTGAAGGGATGATGGTGAAAGGGTTGCATTGGAGGTTTGCGGACAGATGTTGACATAATCGGAAATTCATGGTAGTCTTACAAAAAAAATTTTTTTTTTCGTTTTCCGTGGGGAGGATCAGGAAGTTTGATGGAAACATTGTAGCCGTTTTCTATACTTTTTAAATCTGCTTATACTGTTTTTTGGTTTTGTTTTTGTTTTTTTGTGGCTAGACTCTAAATGTCTGCTTTTCTGAGGCTACGAGGTAAGAGGAGGCGTGATGAGAATAGCTCAGGGAAGATTTGGGAGGGAGCAGCTGATGGTCCAAGATGGATCCGTGGCTGCATCTGCAACACAGCCTGCTCTTCACTGGCGCGGCGTGGGGGTGGGGACAAGCAATCAGTTGCTTATATTCCCGAAGATAATAGAGTCATGCCAAGCCATCAACACATTTTGATTTCATGCTCTCTCTGGGCTATTATTGATCGCAGTGTTACAAAAGGGGGTGTTTAGCGCAGAGAGGGGGAGGGGGAGAAAAATTAGACAAAGCAGGAGCTGGTTGAACCCCATTCTTCTATCCGTGTGAAAGGCTAGGAGCGAAGCTGCAGGCCGCTTTTAGTTTCCATTGTATACGCGTTAGCCTGTTGGTGGGAGCTGGCTGGCAAGCTCCAACTCCCCTCGTGCGGAGATCTGCAGTGCAGATGCCTTCTTGAGGGGGAAAAAAAAATGCACCATGAGCAGGTGGTGGTTCTTAAAGGAACTCAATCTTTGAAGAAAAGAAAAAAACCTTTTTGTCAAAGAAGTGGGCCATAAGCCTGGGAGAGTACAGATAATTCTGCCCTGTATTTGGTTACCTTAAAGGATTTTGAGGGGTTTTAAAATACTTCACTGTCTCCTTTGCCAGAATCTTAGGTTGATGTAAGGAATGTAGAATTTCTGATCTTTGCTTTAAATACATTCTCTAAGTGTTTGGGTTTTGTTTTGTTTTGTTTTTTTAAGTAATCACACCCAAGGTGGGGCTCAAACTCACAACCCCAAGATCAAGAGTTGGATGCTCCACCAACTGAACCAGTCAGGCACCCCTTTTTCTCTAGGTGTTTTTGAACAGTGGATTTCTACAAAGAAGCTTTGGTACCCTGCTGGATTTTCCAGTGTGGTTTTGGCCATTTCAGTAGAAACAGTATCAAAGGAAGCTTCTGCAAGGTCAAGATTAGCTGCCCAGATAAAGGAATGAGGCAGCAAATTTAGAACTCTTGTTCCCTTTAAACCACCAGCGTTTCTCCTCCAAATTTTCATGTTCTGGGCAAAGGTCCAGATGAACAGCAGCTTCCCTATAACTTAGCAACTTGGTGTTTTGGGTTTAATCACTTGTCGTTGCTTACCGTTTGGTTGTTGGCCCTTTGGTACACAGCTTTTGATTTTTCCTGGCTATAACTTTTTGGTTCACCTGCAAAATGGATACTGTGTCTTAAATTCTTACCTATTGCGGATGTGTATTAATATTATTTAAAAAGCATTAATATAGTTTTGGTGGGCCTCATTTGTCAGGTCACAACTTGAAAACTTTAGCTTAAGATCCTGCAACGTGTCGTTACCATTCATTGGAGAAGCTCTTCTTCCCTGCAGAATATTTTCTCCATACCTCAGGAAATGTCCTAGGCTTCTGCACTATGAAGATAAGATGAAATTTGTTACTCCACAGTTTAACCTATTTAAAATGGATATTTAAGAATCGACTTGATTGTTTAAAAAATCTACCAGTGTTGATTCAACCTTCAGCTTCACATTCTTTCACCAAGCTCATCTTGGTTTTAGAGACTTTGAAAAAGTAAAAGAAGTGGTTGCTTTCTGTCCTGTAGGAAAAGCTTTGTCTTGATTAACCTGTCCAGTAAAGCTTTTAGAAATACTAGTTCCTACTAAAGGTCATAGGTTATGGCACACTCTGTTCTAGTGCCTCAGGTACTGGCACAGCCAGGATTGTAATAGGCTTGGAGAAGGAAGTCAAGGTCCAGAATTGGCTTTCCAGATTTCTACCTTAGAAGAATATAAAAGATCTCAAAGGCAGAAAATGTAGATTAAGGTAAAAGAGATTTAAATATTTGGTGTACTTTTCAGGAGGAGAATTGCCTTTATTAGACGTCATGTATAGGTACATGTCTGTTGTCTGGACTTTGGAAAGTTGACTCTTGATAGCATTCGAAATTCTGTAACTTGCCAGAGACTGTTCTTTACTATTGCTGTGAAAATCATGGTGACAGAATAAAGCTGTATTTCTTTTATCTGTTCATGGAAATTAATTCAAAGCTAGAACAGCTTGGACAATTAAAAAAAAAAAAGTTTTTATTTTAAATACTTCTTTTCCTCACTCATGAAATTTAGTTCTATGTAGTTTTTATGGCACCATTTCACATTTGTCCTATCATGTCAGTCAAATGTGAGTATGCAATTTGCATTTTCCATCTTAACCCTTAGACATCTACTTGTTCAGGACTGACATTAGCTGTATTATATTCACGTCAGATTTTTAGTGGCAGTATAACATGGTGATTTGAGCTTCAGAGGCACAAAATTTCAAGCCTAATTCTGTCTCTTAATAATTGTGCATATTATGAGTCTCTGCAATATGACCTAGGCAAATTTACTTTGTGCCCTAGAATCTGAACTCTTACTAAGTAAAAATAGCTAATATTTGATACATCTTTTTGCAGGTTACAAACTGTTTGCACATATATACAAAATATCGGTTGAATTATAAGCAAGAAATCATAATCTTCATGATGATGTAAGGTCTGAGATGAAGTAAGATTTGATAGGACTTCTTTTTAAAACTGAATCTGTTTCGGGCGCCTGGGTGGCTTAGGTGGTTAGGCTACTGCCTTCGGCTCAGGTCATGATCCTGGAGTCCTGGGACCGAGTCCTGTATCAGGCTCTCTGCTCTGCAGGGAGTCTGCTTCTCCCTCTGACCTGCCCCTCCTCTTGCTCTCTCTCATTCTCTCTCTCAAATAATAAAATCTTTAAAAATAAATAAATAAAAGTGAATCTGTTTCAGCTTTTGACCTTTCACATTAATGTCGTAAAGCTACCACCCCTCTCATTCACCTTGTCTGTTAGAAGGGAAGTGGGAGACAGCCACAGCGTTTTGTAGATAGCTTGACATGACACCAACATGCTTAAGTACTGGAGCGCCTGGCTGGCTCAGTTGAAAAAGCATGTGACTCTTGATCTCAGGGTGGTGAATTCGAGCACTACGTGGGGTGTAGAGATTACTTAATAGCTTTAAAAAATATATGCTTAAGTATTGTTTGCGGCATTCTGACTGTAAGTTTAGTTCTGACACACTATGAACCTACTGTCACTGGAGGCAAGAGTACAGAAGACAGCAAGAATGGTCATGTCGATACGGTTTACATTTGCCTGTTGAGTTGGATGATTTTTTATTCTCCAGGAATAAAAGGTTTCTTTTAAAGCTTTTTTCCTCTTACAGTCACATTCACAAATAATTTAACCACTCTGATCAAACAAACCAGTCTCATACATTTGACAGGTGTACCTTAACCCTAAATTGAAATCTCTAGAGGATTGTTCATTAAATTGCTGGTAAGTGTATCATGTTTTTAATTTTTATGATTTTAGAGATGGCCTGAAAACAAAATAAAATAAACATCATTGCTTTTATTTTGTTCTGTGGCAAGGAAATTCCATATTTGTCCTAATACAGGACTCACTTTTGTTTTGGTGGGGGAAGGTCAATTCCTGTTCATGTTTCAAGCGCTTGTCAGTGAAGTTTGGTAGTGAAGGAATTGGTGACATGTCATTGAAGCTTAGGGAAAGTTAAAGTTTCCAGTTTTGTTTGAGATTGTTTATTGTGTAGAAAAGCACTTCTCTTTAGTAGTAATCCTGGAATTTATGGTTTTTGTAATTCCAAGTGGAATTATAAAGGCTCCAAATAAATGAATAACTATGCATATTGTATGTACTTAGCTTATAGTTTGTGTTTGACTTTATTGTTAATGATGAATTTATAAGTACCTCCTAAACTGTATACACTTGTGAAAAATATATAAATTTTGTAATAAAACTTTTCAGATAAAAATCACCAAGTTGGCCTTATATTATCTCATTCAGAAGTTGCCCAGGAAACTGATTTAACCTTTTATTCAGTTCACTCATAACAGCTGTTAACTCTAGAATTATTTTTGGTCATTGGGTATGCTAAAGATGTTTTGAAAAATTGTGTATGCCAGGTAATTTTAGCTATAATCAGTTTTGCTTGTGATTGCATTGTTGAAGTCATTTCCATGACGTATATAAGACATGTTGCTCTGTGATTCTGCAGTTTCTCAGACAGAATCCCTTTAAATAGGATTTGTGTTTTTATTTTGTTAGGAAGGGGTATGGTATAATTGTCAATAGGTAGCCCTCTCATTTTTTTTAGATTTCAAAGAAATATACTTCCCTGTTTTCTCCAACTGTTTTACTTCTCCCGGTAACCACATTGTCATAACCAGGAGAAGTGTGATCTTTCTGACACGTTCCTCATTGGCTGCTTGCCCTTAGGATATATTGAAGGGTATTTGGGGAACATTTTTTAAGCAAAACAGCTACGGAGCCCCTTTTGTCCTGTTACCTGAAGGCATTTCAACAGTGAGAAAAAAGTGTCTTCATT